TTGTACGCACGCTCTCACAATGGATAGATAAGGAAGCGCTTGTAAAAGGTTTACCATCTAAGACTCTCTTACACCAATACATAATTCCAATACATAAATATTCAAACGAATACATGTATAAAAGGGGAAATATGCATAGGACACACATTTAAAAATTCATACTAACCACAATGTATGCATACCTACACACACGTTACAAAGAATCATATACATACAAACAAATATTTCAAATACATCAAAACCCACATTCACACCAAATATACATACTATACCGTATATGCATTTACTTGTATAATTATTTATAGTATACTGTGAACGAATACATAAATCTATGGATAGATGATACATACATATATATGTATATGTATATAGACGTATCACATATATAGATATATATATTTTTCACAGATACCCGAGGAGACAACGGATGAATGCGACGGCCGTTCGCAAAAGGGAAAAGTGTTCGCCTTCATTGGCGATGCCCAGCGCATCTCTTTATCTGATGGAAAGAAGCCGCCTCTCGAGACTTTTGCCCTCGTGCGAGATCGAGCTTGACTATTCGTGACTCATCGTATATACCCCCATCGAGATCGCATTTAGAAACGTTCTTCGATACTTCGTCCAATCGTAAATTCCCTTTCGATGGTCTCTTTCACGCGATTTCCTTTAAAACTAATTCCAATACTTCACGGAAGATAGGTATTGATTTTTCATCCACAGATTATATAATATGAACATTAGAAAATAGATGTTTATCTTTTATCCCGTTTAAATACTAAATTTATGATTATTTCAGAAAATTAGAAAATTATATGATTAGCAATTTGAATTTAATAATAAAATACGTTATAAATTAGATTCTAATAAATGAAATAAACTAAATGTAAAGATAATAAGACCAAAAAAGTAGTGCATTATAATCGTAATCACGGAAATGCATTAAAAGAAGGATAATTGAACGATAGTTCGTTGTTCGTGTTTCACGAACGAGCTCCTGAACTTAATGCGGCATAATCGATGGGCAGAGCGAACCCTCTAATACGAAGCGGCCTCGAAAGCCGATAGTTAGTGGAAAGTGGAGATAAATGTAAAACGTGACGTGCTTTCGAACCGTCGCAAGTGTAATTGGGCGCAAAAGTCGGTTACGAAGCGAAGACAACGAGACGAATTCAACGAATCAAACGAAAGGAACGTAGAAATGTCGCTCATACTTGAAAGTGCGTGTGTCGTTAAAACGGGCCTCGAAATTGGAGAAATTTCTACGCAATAAAACACGGGGGAAGAAGGAAGGAAGGGAGGGAGGAAGGGAGGGATTGAGAGATTGGAAATCAAAGGTGCCGCTTTGAATGACAGTTGAAAATTGGAATGATACTTTTTAAAATGATTCAATCTTTTCTAAATACATTTTTTCTCTTCCATACTTTTTCCTTTCTTTAGAAAATAATTTATCAAAATGTTACGAGCGCGAAATTACATATCCTAATTTTGTTAATTAAAAAAATAGTACACCGTATATGTTCGTTTATTCACAATGGTATTATAAGAAAGTTAATGATATGATTTATTTGTTATTCTTTTTGAACGAACATATATATAAATGTGTAGTACTCGGAAACGGAATAGTATTATAAACAAAATTTCAATAGGTCAATATGTTTTAAAATCACGTAAAAGAATTCTTATTAAAATAATAATAACAGCATTGAAATATAGATACCGGCTGAAGAGTGAGGAGTAAGGAGTGCCATACATAAACAAAACATTGAATGACCGAGTGACGGATTAGTATTACCTATTTATCTACGTTTTCATAGATTTTGCGAGAGCGTCAGTCTCTCGGTGTATTCCGTACTGTTAAAGTGTGTGTTTTATAGTGATAGTGATTTTTCTCAATTACCTCTCATCGGGAAATGGAATTTGCTTATTTTTGGTAAGTGCATAATATTGCATTGGATTGTACAGAAAGTTCGTGTCAATTTTGATTCTTGTTTTTAAATTTATATGTACTAAAGATTTGTCATTAGCTCGAGATGAAAGATAATATGTAAAAAGAAGTGCACGAAAGGAGTAAAAATATTGTTTGTATAATACTTCAATAGCATGCACACGCGCGTGAAAGCGAAATATGCCTTGGGGGAGTATTTCGATTTCGAACAATTAAATAATTGTCATGACTGACCCACTTTATTCTCCTTAGAACGTGTCTCCTCCTTTTTTCTTAATCTCTTTTATTTCATCTCTTCTCTTTTAAACAATCTCGTTATCTTAACAACAACGCATGCCACTGTTCGTAAAAAGTAAAAGTAATTTTTCATATACGAGTTCCTTCATTATTGACAAATACATTTGAAAACATATTGAATAATATTTAATATGTGTAGTGCATAATTTAGTGCATACAATTATGCACTATGAATAAAGCACCAATCGTGCCCTTTTTACTGATCGAAATCGTAATTAAGTAATAGAGTACTAAGAAGTGAAAGTCCAGTCGACAATATGAGTTCACAGATAGTTGCATTAGTATAATACAATACTTACATACATTTGAAGAGATGGAGAACGCATCTCATAGGATCTAATTATCGTGGAATGCTTTGTGCTTGCAAGTAGCCGACGCAATCGTTTAAATTTAACGACCGAACACAAGAAAACCATTCGAGCTGGTGTACGATCTTTTCTTTAGTACAATAATTTAATGCTCTCGATTATGAAACGAACTTTCTTAATCTCGACAATGGACAATTCTTATTTTTTTTTTTTATATATATTTAATTATTTTATTATTATTATTATTATTATTATTATTATTATTATTATTATTATTATTATTATTATTATATCATTAACTGGCATTAGGAATTCGAAAGTTCATTGCCGCAAATATCAAATCTCGCCATTGTTCCATTTCATTTCAATTTTTAAACATATATCATTTTAAATACAACAACAAAAAATTGTATTTTACATAGTAGACATTTTTAATCGTTTGCAGAAGAGATAGAAGTTATGACAATACCTAGTGATTAGATTTAGAAAAAATCATTCGTTCGTTTCACTTGTAATAATCCGTGAGATACTCTATAATTCAGGAATGTTTTATTAATAATTATAAAACGATCAGCGCAAGCATAACAGAGTAGAATCTTGCGAAGGTTAAGACGACCGAGTCCAATTCGTAAGAAGAGTGTATATGCATGTACTTAGGTGAATTTAATTCTAGGCTCGTGCGAAAGGATCGTTAAGAGAGCAAATTATAGCGCGTAAAGGATAAGTACTTAAGACACGTAGCTTCACATTTGTACGTAGAGTTATCCCTCCGTAAAGTTTTAGCAAGAATGAAGGACACATGGGAAAAAATATGGAAAAAATACGACTGCTCTTTTTCTTTTTCTTTTTCTTTTGCTTTTGCTTTTGCTTTTGCTTTTGCTTTTGCTTTTTTTTTCAACATAGAAACATAAAATTAACCTGAATCCTATATATCGAAATTACTGTGGATCTTGTACAAGATTTAATATGTAAATCGCTATAATTGTATTGTAAAAAAAAAAAAAATAATAAAGAAAAGAACTATAAGAGAAAGATGATAATTATGATATATGTTAGAACAACAAAAAAATGAAGTTTACTACAAAGTTTCTAATTGAATGTAAATTTTTAGCTTGTATGAAATAAAATAACATATTATTTCAAGATAGTTGTTAGAAAAGAGTTCCTGATTTCGCTTGGAGTGTAAAGAATTGAAAAATCAATAAAATTGTTTTGTGCAAATGATATAAAAGTAGGTCAAGTTCGAATGAAGAAAATGGTAACATTTGTAATTGCAATTCAATATCTAATCGATTGAATTTCATTTGAATTTTTGAAAAGATAAGACCTTGACTGACTTCAAAATCATTTGCTCATACATATATCATAATTTTTCTAAACTCAATACCAGGAAAACGCATTAACACGTATTTGCTTAAGGCTAAGTAGATGGAAGAACTGAACGGAATTGCCGGTGGTGAAACGACCACCAACGTTGAACGTTGAGAAAGGGAGATATGCCGATGGTAAAGAAAGATGGATAGGCAGGATGCACAATAAAAAAAAAAAAAAAATTAGCAGGAAAAAAGGGGGGGAAAACAAGGAAGGAAATATGAGTAAAGAAAAAATCATGAGAGAGAGAGGGAGAGAGGTAGAAAAAGAATAAGATAATAAGATAAAAGAAAAGAATATGGTCGAAAAGAGAAGATGAACGTGTCCACGTTGATGGGAATCGAGTGACTGTTTGGTAAAGGAGGTCGAACATCATCTCGAGGTCGACGAAGATGCCAGAAACGAGGTTACCGATCTCTCGTGTAGTCACACGAATACAGGGCTCCCAAGAAAAGTCAGGTCTCGATCCGATCGAGTCTCCTGTCGTGCAGAGAATTTGTTAAGAGATCGGAACAGTGATCGAAACCGCGGGTGGGTGGGTGGTTCTCTTCCCTTCAGGAAGTATCCTGTCTGTCGCGTGTGTGCGGTTTTTCAAAGTGAAACTTTCTTTTCTCTTCTTCTTCTTATTCTTTTTTTTTTTCTTCTTTTCCTTCCGAATTAATAATAAATTCTTTGTGAAGAAGAAAGACAGAAGCATTAATATTATTCACGAGCAAGAGTCGTATAGAAGGGGTATGAGGAGATTACTTTTATTTTGAATTTCATTTGTTGGGGCGGTAGCGATTGATGTCTAGTAAAATTATGAATCTTGACCAATTCGATTGATATCGGGTTTGAGCGAGTGTAAAAACAAACCGTGCGAATTTTCGCGTCGTCACTTCGATTATATTTAATTTATGGATACGAGTATGTGTGAGAAAGAGAGCTTCATGAAGAAATTGGAGTATAGTTATTTCGGTATACTTTTTTTAATATTTTTTTTTTTTAGTGGTTATTGGGTTAGCTAATTTGTGACAAATGTTGGAATTTGTAATAATTCATTCTTACATCATATTCGTATCAAATGAAAGGGAACTTACCTCGCGTGCTTGATCCTCGATACTTCGAAGTACAGCGAGATTGCGTATAGTTGCTCTACGTGATTCAAATGAAGACTCAAGTCTCGTTGCTGCGTTACCAACTTCCTCCATCAATCTTCTTGCTCGTTGTAGAGATAATCTATCAAAATAATCAATTTTTTGATTGACGAATTAATAGGACTCTCTCTCTCTCTCTCTCTCTCTCTCTCTAGTAGATGGAAACATCTACCAACTCTCGATGATCCTAGCTTTGGTAAATTTCATTTCTAAACAGGTTTCTGTTAAAGTCCACTAATAATATTATTGAATAATTTGAGGGTTGGTAGATTTCTATAATACATAATAACAACAGTTTTTAGTTGAATTTCAAAGCATTTAATTTCAATGCGGAAGTCGAACTATTAATTTGACTAATATCTAGTTACTTAGGGTGAAAAACTAAAAGAGGAAAAAAAGAAAATGATGTTGTTTGTGTGCAGGGTCCCTCGGTAAAGACTAGGCGTGACTAATCAACGTATTAACTTCCGGCTTTCTGACAGCATTTAAACACATACGCCTTTCTAAGATACTTAAAAGAGAGAAAATAAAAAGGATCGTAACTTTAATTGGTCCGATAAAAAAGGTAAAGACGTTTCAAGTGAAATTGGAAAGCTCACTTGACATAATCGATGTGTAAAAGCGGTGTAGCACGTTCTTCCAAAGCTGCAATGGCTACTTCAGCGTCCCTAGACGTTCTTCTCAATGTTGGGTCCGTTAGGAGCCGACCGAGAGGCGTCAAGGTGCCGGACAAACTTGTGCATTCTTTTAATTCTGACATTTCCAGCGCTAATCTCCGCCCAGCTGCATGCCATTCGCTCATTAACCCATCGTATTCCTAAAAAGAACAAATATCATTTTAATTCAATCTTCATATTAATCAAACCGAATGAAATATTCTTGCAATTGATCACTCACAAATATAAAATTGGACAAGTAATTATAGTAATAGTATTTATGATTATTATTAGTATTATTATTATTTCATTGGAATTATATATTATCAATTTTTATTATTTTACAAAAGTATCACAGTTAGATAATAATTGTATAAGAAAAATTAATGTTTCCTAAGTATAAGTTATCCTTTTTAGTATAGCATAATTATACTAGTCTAAATTACTGTCTAAGTTTTATATATTATTTTGAGGTTTCTTTTCTATTTCTAATTTGAAACAAACTTTATTTATAAAAGCTAATTTATTCTACTTAGTAAGATGCAATATTATTTCTATTATGTAAAACAGTACTTTGCATAATATGTTTTAAAAACAGGATACCTGACAATTACACGATAACATCTACAAAATTGCTAAGTAGTCAAACGTAATTACTTATTTTTTGTTTTGTCTTTAATCGTAACCACTTATTCTGTGTACTAAACTTAGCATTTATATAATATATTAAAATATGAATAACAATAAATAAAACTAATATTGTTGAACTAATATTCATCCAAAAGTGATTACAAAAGTAGTTGAATCAGTAATGTATTTTGTATTACATTTTTCAGATTATTTGTTAACGATAAAAGAACAATTAATTAAAAATAGAGATATAATATCACTGACACACTTATTAGGAATGTTAGACTCAATCATACTGAATGAATGTTACGATTAAAAAAAAAAAAAAGAAAATAAAACTAATCGCGTTTATTCATCGACATGGAATTCATGAAAACACATATTTTAACTTCCTTTATGTATCACACAACATGTATTAATATTTTTATTCGTAGAAAAATGTATAGACAAGTTTGCGTCAAACGGTATCCATTCGTTTCTTGATCGTAACGCTCAGTGACTAAGCTTAATGAAATAATGAGATAATCTAGAAACAGGAACGCAATCGTACGAGTCGATAATCAAATTTTGAGTTGTCGATGACATAGAAAGAAAGAACACCTATGAATTCTGTCAATCAATAATAGTTTTACCAGTTCTTTCGATTGATGTCTTATTTCTGTTGAATTATTTGCCAGATTGATCAATCGTACGATCAAATCAATGCCTTAGGGTTATTTTATTCATTCAATTTCATTCGACTTGTTAATCTAAAGTTCTATATTTGAAAATCTTGATCATGTTCGAATAATTATTTGAATGTTCAATGTTTTATTGCTAACAGAAGTGTTCAGAAATAATTGTTCACACAAATATCATCATCAATTGAATTCTTTCAAAATTCTAATTGAAGAAATAAAATGCAATCAGTAGATAATAATACTGAAGGTGTATGTTTGAGAAATAGTTCAAGGAAAGTTAAGAGAAGAGTTAAATCTCATTCTCTCTTTTCTCATTCTCGTGCTCCTTACTTATCGTCTTTTGTCGGCGGTACAAAAGATCAACGTAAAAGCGCTTACGCGATAATCCGTGAGCTGAAGACGACTCCTCGTAACCTTTAGGGTTAAATACTCGCTTCTGTCGGCGGGTGCGTAGTAAATTCTCGTTCCTTGAATTCTTCAAAAGTCCTAGTTCGAAATGAACCTTTACTTTCCACTCGAATAATTTAACGCGAGTTTAAAGTGCCATCGGTTTTATTTCTATCGATGCTCGTTAGATTTTTTTTTAATTAAATATGCCCTTACAAAATTACACATTCGATTTTTTAATATAATAATTTAATGTTAGTATTAATTTATCAATTTAAAAAACAAAACAAAAAATACAATTATTGGTGATAGTATTTGAGTGAGAGTCACTGTAAAGAATAGTAAGATCGGTCAGTGGCATCCGTCGCACCATAAATTCTCGAGACCATAATTGCGGCAGAGATCTCGGAGGGCATTCGAGTGGCGAATCGGCACAATTATTTCTCTCCTTCGAATCCGGCCCGCGTATTTATTTCATCGAAGCTGCCGAATCACTGTAATGACATTGAGTCAATCGACAAACGGGCAAACTACTCTCTCATCCGGCTGACAGAAGCGCCCGTTTTCATAGCAATTTGTCGCGACTTTCGAATTACTGAGATGAATGATGCGAAGAAATATTTTATCTCTCATTTCTCGCATTTCGAATTTTGACGCATAATTTATCGACACGTTATATATATATATATATAGATATTTGTATGTGTATCTCGAATTATCGATCTTTAATGAAAACTTACAATTTTGTTTTTTTTTTTATATTATATAATCGTAATTAATTTCTGAACAATTCTCAATATTTAAAAAAAAATATATATTCAAAGGTAGTAATTAATAACATAAATAATGAAAGTAAACGATAATTACCTTGTAAAATGTAATCCACTGCGTTTGATCGTGATTCCTTTCGCGCCTTTCTCTTAGAAATTTATTGATCGTCGTATCGTTTATTACAATCGTCTGAAATAAATTAATATTTAAATTAATATACGTATCACAGTGATAATCAAGAAAATATCATATTACCAATTCATATAACAAATCATTTTCAATTAACATCGAACTTTTGTTGTAGAATATTATTCGAGACAGGTCCAACTATATGAAATGTTCTTTTAGTCGAGCTTCACAATATCGATTCACGTTTATATATATATATATATATATTTCACCAATACTACAAAGTAACAAAGGGTGCATTCTAGAGAAATCAAAGGTAGAATGAAATGTAAATTCTGGTCAATAGGTAGTCGTACCAATGTTGTTTCATACGACAAATATGCTCGACGAACTGAAAATTTCTATCTTAAAAGTTTAAAGAAAAAAAAAGAATTGTAATCTTTTTTCAAATAAATTTAATGAAATATCAACTTACTTTGACACGACTAAGAGGTAACATGGAGTCGTTTGCTGAGTTTTCTGTATTACTTCGTAAGATGTATGCTTGATTCACATTGATTCTTCCCTATAATAATTAATATATATATATATTGTAATATATTTGTTCATTAAAATTATTATAATAATTGTAAACAATCTTACTTGTACAAGAAGCAATGCTTTATCCAAAAGATCCAAACATTCCATAGATTCACTACGAACGAGTAGACTCCATCCATCTTTCGTGTGTTCTGAACTGTAATCAGAAATATTTCCGAACATGAGAGAGAGAGAGAGAGAGAGAGAGAGAGAGAGAGAGAGAGAGAGAGAGAGAGAGAGTTAGAATCGTGAAAAGGGAATGAATAAAAATTAAACATACTGTAGTACACATTAGAACGCGTATAATGCCAATAACAAAAAATCCTTTCATTCGATCCGTTCCTCTCATACTCAAGAGAGACCCTAACTAAGTAAGTACATATTCAAAGTTTCTCACGAGGCTCTTGTAGCACCCTCGTTTCTCGTCACCCCTCCTCCCTGTCTGGAGTTCGTTTGCTTGGTAATAGCAATCATACTTCTTATACCGTACTGCAATAGTATTCGTTCTGATTTCATACGTGTGCCAAGTCAATTCACAGAATTGCTTATGACCGATTTAATTCATCTATCGGAACGGCAGGAAACGAAATACACGTGTATATATATAATATATATATAATATATGTGTGTGTGTATAAATATTGAAACATACACGGATATATTAACACAGTTATACTTATGTCGTACCTTTACACCTTCCTACTTTCAATTCTATCAAAGATCGCATTTCTAATTCCATCTCGATAGAGTCGCCACTATACTTTTCTATACGAGCTGATCTTTAAGATAAGATTCTTTTATTTGTTAGATTTATACACACACATATATGTACATATATGTTTATACTCATACACGTTTCATTATTTCTCAGTGATATAATTACTTTAGTGTTCCTTACACATCGTCCTAGTTTGGATTCGGTTTTCAACGATCTCTTTTTACTCAAGTGTCCGTCATTATTCGATGTCCGACATACATACTACGTTTACGACTACACCTTTGCTTGATCTTTCTAACTTTCCAAGGAATAATAAAATAAAATAAACTATCATGATTCTATACTAACCCATTTGTATCGTGAAACATTTAAATAAAATTAAAAAAAAATTATTTTGGAAGGTCCTGAAATTCTATTACTGTTTGAATGATTTCAATTATTTCTTAGTATATTTGGATTCGGGCCAAGAATTCGATAGATCCGGAATGAGAAACAACAAACTCACGACTTTGACACACTGCCAAGAATAATTCAAGTAGAACGATCATATTAGATAAGGGAATCACTTAGATTTAGTAAAGTTAAGTTTTCATCTGACTGTGTATGTATATGCTTAGTATATATAATTCAATAAGAATAGCCTTCGGGACATCGTGCGCATCAGTGTACCATTGATCATTACAACGGATCGATAGAGAGAAACAGAAAGATCGATAAGAATCCAAATTGATCGTCTCTGTGTATCGATCGCCGTTAGAAATCTATGGTTGACGCTTTATTAAATTCAAAGTCGTGCGCAGAGCTTACGATGAAAGAGCGCCGAGCAAGGCTCTAATCTTCGGAATCGTTGGAAAATCATTTTAACGTGTATAGTCGTATGAATACCGTAACTCGTTATCGCCTGTTGCTATCGTACAAGGAAATATTTCTATGCTCGTTCAAACTGGTACGTATCTTTTTTTTTCTTTTGGAAGGTGGAGGATTCTACTCGCGTATATGATGCACGTTATTTGTATATGGTACTACGAAAGCAATGAATTCATGAATATAAAAATGATTTTAATATGATCTTAATACTACAATTAATTAAGAAACTAATGGATATTAGGTAGTATTCTATAAATTGCAAAGAAAAGAAATAAATTTACAATGGTATATGAATACCGTGTGTGCATCTGTGTTACATACAATAGAAACGTATATGTAAATACGTATTGGTAAGGAGCGTTTACGAGCAAACGGATTTACAATTCGATCGTAACTGTCGGCATTGGCATAACGCCTTTGGCTACGCCACTGCCCACTCTTAAAAGAAACTCCATGCATTAGCACTATTGTAAAGCTAGAAGAAGTCTTGGAAGAAGCCACGCATGCACGCATGCACGCACGCACGCACGCATTCGGTATCGCAAAGGTTCATCGTGTGTATCGTTGCGTTCCGCATTGTACCGCACCGCACTAGGAACGGGAGATGATTCGAAAACCGCGGACGCATCTTGGGTGGGCAGGACTTCTCGAACAAAGACCCCTCTGCGTCACAAGAGACCGCGTGTTTCTTCGCTTGCTGTTCTTTTACACGATTCTACCAAGAAGTTCAATCATCCTTCATTTTCCAATTCAATCAAGTTCCGCATTTTCATCCAAGTCTATTACGTGTTTTATTTTTAAAAAATGTTTCTTCTACGATTCAATGAATTTATCTTTAATTTATCAAGCACGTTTATGCGTTAACAGAATAAAGTGCAATCATATTCCTGTTTCTAACTTTATTTTATTTTACTTACACTGTATGTAAGATTTGAAGTAACCTTTTTCTTTCACTTGTGCTAATTACTTACAAAATTAGTTCAAATAGATTGAAAAATACTAAGAGTTGAATTTCGAATGTTCAAATTATCTAAGACAACATAGTTAAGTACTAGAAAGTCACTAACATAAGGCGTTGCGCCTTTACAGGTGAGAAGATCGTGTGAACCGCTACTAAAAAGGGAGAGACCTATATTCTTAATAACGTTCTAACCACTCTAATAGCTCTCTAATGACAACATAAAGACAGGTGATATTTAAAGTCTCTTACGTTTTGCTGTAACAATGTTAATAGTTCTTACTTCAAGGACGAATTGAAGAAAAACTTTAGCGAATTGAGACATTTCTTTCCCTCTCTCTCCCTCTCTCTCTCTCTCTCTCTCTGTTTCTCCCCTTTCTCTTTTTAATGATAATTGCAGTATAAAACGAAATAAATATACTTCGAACACGAGCCCCCTACAACAAATTGCTGGAAAATTAAGATCAAAGGAATGAAGTAATAAATAATATCGCAAAGTAAAAAACTACATCGTCAAAAAAACAAAAAAGATTGAAGTACGTAAAAAGAGAGAGAAAGAAGTAAAGAAAAAAAAAGAAATAAAGAAGAAGATATGATGTTGAAAGTGGGTCGACAAATTGCAACGAGCGAAGAGAAAAGTTAAAAAAGGAGTACAAGGGATAGGGCGGGCGGGCGGTCGGGCGGTGGGACGGGGAAAGAGGAGAAGGTAGTAGTAACCAATGATGATGATTCGAAAAGAGGGTGGTTCGAAGGCGAAGAACATGAAAGAGAGAGAGAGAGAAAAAAAAAGAAGATACGGAAGGACGAAAAAATAAAAAGTTTACCGGATGCCGGAGGCTGAACCTTGGTAGAAGGGTAAAAGGATTGATGCACGGCCATAACTCACGAAGAAACGCGGTCAGGTGCACAACTGGATCACCACCGAGAGATTCAACAACCTGGGGACCTATCGTCCTACCATCTTCTTTGAGAGTAGTAACGTCGTGACTTCTTCTCGCGTGATACACGATACATGACGATGAGGCATGCCTCTCTCTCTCTCTCTCTCTTTCTCTCATAGAAGATGCAAACTTTATCGTTTAGGCTCGTGGTTAAGTTCAAAGACTGTTAATTATTTCACCCAAGGTAGAAGAAGAGAGTGATTAGAGAACGATGAGAACACGAGAGAAAAGGTAGATCAATTTAAGTGTGGAATACAATTTTCTTCTATTCGCGAATTATATTGATTAGCTCAATAATTATTTTATTTATTTTTTTTTTTTCTATTTCAAAATTGCTCAGTTAATACATTTTGTAAAAGAATTTAATTATTGGATATGTTATAGATGATATTAGGTTATTAAAGATTTTTTTGTTATATTATATTATATGCATTAGGTAGTCCAAAATTATAAAGTGTCTTGCAATAAGTTAATATGTTTGGAACAAAACATATTTTAATCTTCGAATAGAAGAAAGATATATAATTATTGTAAAATATTCCAGAGAGAATAAGCTTATTGGCCAACTGAAACGTTGCATTAGATGGTACTGATTAGCTCAATATTTTGCAATAATAAAATTCTTTACATATATTGGTACTTTTTCTTCTCCTTCTTCTTYTTCTTCATATTCTTGCAACTTATACAATCAATTTCGAAGAAGACTAGAATTCTCAGCAAATATGGAAAAGACACTAATGAATCAGTGACTTAGCGTGTGAGGAATTTTTGAAGAAGAAAAAGAATTAACGATCGGTTCTTAGAAGTACGATTGCTAACAGTTAAATAAATAATTCGAATTATTCGTCTAGCATTTGCAAATAATCCTACACCGATAGAATACTTTTCTGCGTATACACGAATTATCGAATGGAAATAAAAATAGGTGGGAGGTAGAAAAACAAAAAAAAACAAAAAGGAAGAAAAATTCTAATGAATCTTGCTAAGCCGAAGTATATACCGTAAGAGTTAGACTGATTTATAGCGATCGTGTTCCGCTGAGAGGATCATTATGACACTGTTAGCTTTCGTCGCTGGATTCCTGGTATCACATAGGGTGATATTCATGTATGTGTGCATATCTCTGCATCTACTTGCTTGTGTGTACCTACGTATCAAAAAAGAAGACGAGCTTATAATCATTCTTTTTTCTTTTTTTTTTTTTTGTGCGCGTCCTCTCACAGTGAAAATGTTCATAAAAGATAAGAGTCTCGAGCGACAAATCATTCGTTATCTTTACCAACGATAATCCGCCGACGCTAATGCGATTCCACAAGATAAGGAAGGATCTTTGGGCGAGATAAAACTTCAGTTTTCTTACATATGTAGGTATAAACATTACTTTACGAGTTATCTAAATTGAAAGTGAGACCCCATGAGGACGATGCCGGCTCACTTTGAAGCAAGCGAGAAAACCTTTTGAGAAATTAATAGAAAACATTTGAGACCCTTACTAACATAAATCTAAAGGATACATTCCCGGTGTCAGATTATATACGAGACAGCTTGTGTAAATTAAATAAGAGGACACGAATAAACACAATAACTCCGGGCGTACCGATCTATTTTACTTTAACTTTAACTTCGTGAGAAGGGGTTGAGCGGTTTCCTTTAAAAGGTCACCCACACGTGTTAGCTCGGAAATGCACGAATGCAAGGAGAAAAGCTTTAGGCGAATCAAGATTTACGTTTTTCCTTCTCGCTCCCTTCTTCGTGAGCCGATAAAACTGAAAACGGTTATTCCTAAGGTGTGTTTGTGTGTGTGTGTGTGTGTATATCTAGAAGAATCCCAACCAACTAGCTAACACCGCGAACTTGTTGCAATGTAAGATTGAATCGTTGGAAAATTTTCATCATCTCTTCTTTCTTTCATTTTTTTTCCCAAAATCATTTTTCACCCTTTTTCTCATTTACGGTTGTTTTTTTTTTTCTTTTCTTTTTTTCTTTTTCTACAAGTGTTAAGCATAGAAGAATCGTTGACGCGGAAACGACTTTATGTTGAAGATGACGAAAGATAGAGCGACGTTTCTTATGGTGAACGCCTGAAGCTACACATAACGCTATCTCTCTCTTCTTTCTTTTTCTATTAAACTTCTTCGTTCCTCTCGTTGTGTGTTCATCCTTCTTCATTTTTCTTTTTCTATTCACCTTGTTCGTTCCTTCTCGACTTCACGTATCTATCTTTCTCTCTTTAACTCTTTCTATCTGTGCTTCTCTCACTCACACTCATTCACTCGGTGTATCCTTCTCTTTCTTATGGTTCGACATGAAGAATCATGGGACTAGCGCATAGGAGAAACCATAAAGCCGTGCGATGAATGATATCGCAATAGGCTGTCGTGCTTATCATACGCGATATATTTTATGAGTCGAAGCTTATGCGAGGTATTGCTGTGAGAGAGCATCGACGAGATGACGCTGAGAGCTTGCTCGCGTACACGTAATTTTCGGATTTACGAGCGATTTTCAACCTTACCATAGAGACCACTTTCCGTTTATTTCGTTTTATAGATGAGTTACGACTCGAAAATGAGTTTCACTATAATAAACGTTATATTATACATACATATAGATATGACGGAAGTTGACTGTTTTTCTTTCATTCTACAAATGTGATTCTTATAATACAATACTTTCTCCCAGTTAAAATAAGAATTCAATTTGTAATATTATTTATTATAGGAAATTTGTAAAGATTTTTTTACCTGGGCAAACGGGCGAGGTAGAGCAAAAAGGATGAAATTTCTTTGACGGTGAGATTTTCCCTCTTTGTTGTGTCCTCAAATTCGAGAACCGGTCTTCCTGCGGTGTCCGTATATCCTGCAACAAATAATCGTATTGTTATATATATATATACTGTAATTAATTGTTGAAATTCATGAAATATATACATAGCATATCGGTAAGAGAAGACAAAGTAGAATCGTTACAATATAATACTTTACTTAGTCGTTCAAGATAACATTACGAAATGCTTCTAAGTACGTCCATTATCGAAATACGTAGACGTTAGTAGAGAATACTCAGGATTGTAATAAATCGTACTCTTTAAACGCGAGTAAATTCCGTAACGAGTAGACCAGTAATAATAATACTTGGTATAACAGCTAAGGTAGACTATCAAAGGGCGATAAAGTTATCTGAAGTCATTCAGAGCAACGATACATATTTAACTCGACTGTAGGTATAATAAATGTTAGAAGAAAATATAAAGGAAAAAAGCAAAGAAGAAGAAGGAAGAAGAAGAAGGAATCGTGTTTTGTGACACGTCTGTAAGATTACAAGTTAGAAAATGCAACTCTAACTGGGCGCCAAGATATATATTCTTGAAGAAGAATATTACAAAACTCCTTTCTGGAATCATCTTCTTATACTTTAAAGCTTTAATGATAATTCATTGCGGCGTTAAGTTATCTGGACGATTACCCTGTAACGTGATAATAATGTTCAGCGCCGGTGGCGGGCAAAACCTTCCTCGCGTGCGCCTTATAAACGCCTTACGATTCCGAGCCTACAAAGATGCAATGTTAATGACACCCGGTGTATTTTGCTAAAGCTACTATCGCGAATACGAATTCTTCTTTACCACCCCGATCTCTTACAAATTAACCTTACCGTTTTTTAACAACCGTGCTACGTTTAATGACTTTCTATTATTTTTTACTTAGATCTCTTTTTAATTTAATCCAAGTGATTTATATACGTAGCGTAAATTTATTACATCACAAATATGAATATCTTTCTTTTCATAATGAAACATTAATAATTAACACTATTCTTTTTATTATATATTACCATACTCTTAATAATAATTCTATTATTTTTATATGTTATTTAGGATACTTGGAGAAAAAGGAGCTGACTTGGGACTCTACTTCAATCAACAGGATATTCAAGAACTTTGGTCAACTTTTTTCAAGACTGTCTAATTTTGTTTTTAGTATTTTTATCAATGTACAATAATAATCCCTAATTTCTTTCCCTCTTCAATCCTAAAATCACGACTCATATAATTTTATGAGAAAATGCATAAAAAAGTAGTAACTTTTGGCAAACGATTCAGACGGTTTGTATTGTACAATATATTCGTTGTTTTAATGTGATACTTGAGAAACGTGACGCTGTTTCCGACGTTATTCTTTACGATGGACTTCTAAGGTATTACGGGAAACGTACAATTACGACACGTTTAGCCGCTAATTCGACGGCGTACCTATCGAAGGAACAACAAGATAAAGAAGAAGAAGAAGATGAGGCTTTGCTCGTTTTGCTAATAACGCAGAAGAATAGCTTACGATCGTGGCACGAATCTTTTGCTCGTTCATCATCGTCTATCTTTCTCTCTTTTTGTTTATTTCTTTCTTTCTTTCTTTCTTTCTTTCTTTCTTTCTTTCTTTCTTTCTTTAGATAAAGAAAACCGAAACGAAACAAGCTTTTAACGTAAATCAAACATACTTGAATGTGTTTTATACACCTAACTAGAGACCGTTCATTCATTCGAGTAAATTAATCATGGCATGCTTCTTGGATATTATTTTATTTTCAACAAAAGTTATTCATTTATTTTTCTCTTTTTTTTTGTAATAATTTCTTATAAAAAATGAATATTAATTAATCGTGCACGATACCGTCGCGTTATTTTATTATAACAATGTTTATTAAATGTTCTTTATTTATTTTATAAAGATTTTTTGTTTTTTTTCCCCCGGTTTAATTTAGAATGAAAAAATAAATATGTGTAAGATGAATAAGATTAGAATTAGCCTGAAGCAGATACGATAAGTCCCATCCTCGTGTTGAATTCGTGAGAAAGATGAACGATAGTCGGATGGATACGTCAATATGCGTGCCATTAGCCGTAGCTATTCGAATTTATCGCATGACACTACCCCGTAAATCCGTGATTTCTAATTACACGCCTGTGATCGTTCGCCTTTCTCCCTTTCTCTCTCTCTCTCTCTCTCTCTTTCTCTCTCTCTTATTTCCTACATTGATGTAGTTGCCATCAGTTCTTCTACTTAACTTCTATTTATTACGACTATTGAAGCTGTTGGTTCCGATCGATTTCTATTAAAATGAAAACGACGATGGGATCATCTAACAGAAATAAATAAATAAATAAATAAATAAAATTGAGTATAAAAAATAAAAGAAAGAAAGAAAGAAAGAGATAGAAATAAAGCAAGAGGAAAAGAAAGTACCGTGAAGCGTGTAATTCACAGTCGACAGTCCGTGAATTATTATCAGCCAGTTTGCCGCGTCAGGTTTTAACAGGGAGATCAAAAGAATGAGCAATGCCAAGGCTAGGATTCTCTCTTTATAATGACGTCTTTTCCGAGCACCTAATCGCTTAATCGTTTGTTCCATCGTTTTCCTTTTTTTTTTTGTTTCAATCTTCCCTTCCTAGCCATCACTTCTTCTTCTTCTTCTTCTTCTTCTTTGTGATTTCGCGATTGGATAATTGAACTTTCCGCATCCGATTACGTCTCACGTTCAAATTAACAATCATATCTTTTATATAATTGCATATGTTTCTGTCATTAAATATTACAGTATTTGATTAATCGTTTTCAATATGCAAGATATCACGTTTTACACGATGTAAACATGTCATGATCATCTTACGATTAACATCCCCCATTTTTTTTTACTACTTTGTCGTTGTTTCACGTGGTCGTAGTCGTGGTTGTGGTCGTTGTTTGGGAATTCTTCTGAAATACTTATTTACGTACACGTGCGTTTATAGTGAGGAAGAGGAAGAGGAAGAAGAAAAAGAGAGAGAGAGAGATGGATAAAGAAAGACAAGTTGTCTTTACGTGCGTGGTAATGTGGGAAAAAGTTTCACCTCTATTAACCTTGAATCTTTCACCTTTCGACAGGCTATCGACTTCTGCATACCGCTCGTCGATCATACGCGATATATGTTCCAGCTATTCCTTTCTCGAGTGCCGGTGGAATACTACGTATATATATATATATATATAAATATATACATATGTGTGTGCGTGTGTGTATATATATACATATAAATACGTAGAGCTATATACCGATCCTTGACCCTACACTCGCGCATTGGATTTAGTTATAGGTATATTTTCAAATGGATATTGGTTATATCTAATAAATGCGTATACCTTATCAAATAAGTATAAGGAAGGGTGTAAAGGTAAGGGGTGAGGTTGGGACGCGATAAAAAATATAAAAATTAGAACGTAACAATATCTTAAATTCAAAAACATTCAAAAAGTCATATAAACAACATTAAATATAAGAATTTTGACAGATGACCATCTGTCAGTTTGAAGCTGAATTCCGAGGAAGACGGTACTCCGATCATATACTCGGTGTTTTTAAACAACAATACACATTCTCATCGATTAATTAACAATTATTTGAATATTTTAAGATACTCTACTTATATTAGAATCGTTATTATACACAGTTATGTAGAGGGTGTGTTAAAAAATGTATATATTTATAGACACGATGCATATATCGGGATTGTAAAATGACGTTACAGCCACGCCCCTCCTTTATCTTCCCATCGTGACCGTTATTGAGAATCTATGAGAGAGATCGCGGGGCCAATTAGTAGGCGGCGGGATGGATCGTCCGTTAGAAGTGAGCTACCGAATGGTCCATTAGCCGCCTTAGAAGACGATCGAATTCACTCTAACATCGAATTTAATATATTACAATACCTTTTCTATATCACCGTTAAGTTTAAATCGCCTAATCACGAAATTCATCGTTGCCACACATTGTTTACCGCCCCCCCCCCATATACCCCCATTTCATGAAAATTTGTATAATCAAAATGAAAAATAATGTGTTCAATCGTTGACAAATATTGTTTATCAATCTGATGGAAAGAAGAAAAAAATTGAAAACTCCGTTACGCATTCCAATGTATTTTATTCGCTTTAACTATTTTCTCGATAGTTTTTGAAAAGAATCTGAAAAGAGGAGGAGTAGATAAATTGCATCGATCCCATCGCGCAGTTATTCCGCGTTTGTACATACAGGATGTTTCAACTTTGATATCGTCATTTATTTACTTAACTATAAGTAAAAATTATTTACATTTACATTTTGTTATGAAAAAAATATTTCAATCATTTTAAAAGAAAATATTTCATTTACAGATATTACAGATATTTAATTTTAACTTACAAGTAATTTCTTCGTAATGTATACTTTAGAATCAAAAAAAAAACAAGAAATAATTTATTGAATAAATATAAAATATTAATTGAATATGTCATAATTCGTAATTTGAGATAATTATGGTTTTTTAGAAACATGCAGTATATTATTCAAGTTTGTAGGAAACGAGCATGGTTCGTTTATGTTCGTATACACATCGGAACTTCGTGCATAGCTAATGTGGTTGATCGAATCGCACGCGTGATAACCATAATCACGTAGAAGAAGTTCGCGCATATCGTCAAGTAGAGTATAACGTATATCACGTATGTATATACATACGTACATCGGAGATGGGGAATTTCACACACATTTCTAAGATAAAACGTGATTTCTAAGACGGTATTGATCTTTACCAACTCGTAAATTGGCCTAAAGCGTAATAAGTATCGTGATTGCTTAGGTACTTACTCCCTTAGGGGGCAAGTCTGATGTAATTTAAGGAATGTCAAAAATGATATTAGAACTTTGAACAAAAAAAAATATTTAATCGTGTTAATCTATTCAAGTATTTCTTTAAATCTAAATACAATCATATCTTAAGTGTTTGTTGCTAAAATGTCAATTGATTTGTAAAAATTATTTTAAAATGTATAAATTAATTTAGGATATTT